AGTTGAATAACGAAAGTGTCATCCGCTGAGAAAGGCATATTTCTAACCGAATGACACTCTCGACATTCAGCCATCGTACTGTGACAAATACGAAAGATGCATTTCTTTGATATTCGATATTTTACTGTTGACAAGACGACATTAATTTTGCTCGGTTTTTCCATATCGAATGTTATTATTTCTTTCCTCTTCCTTATAGCTCTCTATGTCCTTATAGCTATCAGCTTTACATAAATGTTTTGAAACTAACTATTCAGCCCTACCTAAAATATTTTTAGTCATTTTAGTTTTAGTGCAGTTTATTGAGACTGATGATGTGTAAATTGAAATATATTACATGCAATAAAAATAAATAGAGTTGGTCTTGTAAATAAAAATTTATATATTGTCGATACAGAATATTTCAAGGGAATTTATCGCAGTATTAGTACCTATATGGAACCTGCTAAACCTCCCTCCTTTCTCCTCGTGTTATATATTTCGAAAATTGTGTAAGATAAGATAAGCTTGCAGGCAATCCGCTTATGATAAAACTTTATCTGCTATCAAAGTTCAAAAAGAGGCGATTCACATTTCGAAATTCTACAGAAGGATAGTCCCTTCCTACTGGAAAACTTTGACCAATGTGAAAGACTTAGAAAGGAGAAGGAAAGAAATTTTGATAGAAAGTTTTTTGGATTGAAAAAAAAAGAATCTGAGAGACTTCCTGACTACCTGAGGGAAAGTATCTGAGAGAGACATGTGAGAAGCAGGGTGGGAAAGGTCAGATGAAGACGCACTTAAAAGTCTCTGAAGAAGTGCCAAGAAAAGAAAGAAGAAATGGCTGCTGGGAAGATCGAGGTAGAATTCAAGAAGATACCAGGAGACATTGGCACCAGAGACCCAAAGAACGTTGCTGAAGACTCCACCATATACTCATAAACATCTAAGCGATAATATTCTATTAAAATCTATTCGTGTAGATCTTTGTTGGCAATGTGTATAATAATAGAGTGATTGCTCATGTCCACATAAGCATCATCAATGCAATATTATGCATATGTAACGTTGAAAAATCGCAAATGGACTTTCAAAAATTGGATTGCTAGCTTTTTTTTCCAAAGATATTTAAAAAATCGGATAACCAGAAACGTAGCAATGCTACAAGATTATAAAAAATATATGACTTCCATTAATCGGATACATATGTTTCTTACGATTCAATTTTAAACTGTCTCCACTGGACTCTGATTCCGGTGACGCAGCTGAGAGAGTAGCGCTGGGATCTCTTAGGGCCTAGTGTTGTCCTCTTCACGTGGGGGAAAGGGCTGGACTCGGAGCTCTCTTGGCTGGTTGTAAATATTGTAAATAAGTATGTCTGTTTTTTTTTTTTTTTGTTTTTTTACTTTCCTGTATTCTTTCACTATAAGCTATATTTCTTTGTTTTTACTACAGTTTTATTATTGTTATATATACATTATTATCTTTTATATATCAATTTTTATGTATTTCATTTTTTTATTTTATTATATTGTAAATATGGTATGAATGTACCTCACAGCTTTAATACTCATTACTCTTAAGTGTGGTAAAATGTATTATACCTCAAAAAATTATTAAAATAAAAAAAAATTAAAATAAATTTTAAAAAATGGATTGTTTGTCCTCATGCTCGATTTGGAGGCCAGCATCACAAAACAATGGCCTCCAGATAAGACAAACGACCCCATCCCACGGCCCATTCAGAGGGGTCTCAAATAACGTTATTTGGAAGTTGTTGCATCATTTAGAGGAGGGTTGAAGGTTCAACTTTTAATTGAATTCTTCGTAAGTTGTAATTAGAATCGCCCTTTCTTCGATGTTAATTGGCATAAGTTTACGCTCGCCGGGTCTCGACAAATCCTACTCAACAAATTATCTGATGTTTCAATGAATTAGCCCTGCCATTAATCTAAGGAGCTTTCACGAAAAGTGTTTGACGAGGATTTATTTTTATTGCAGCCCTTTAAACAGTCCCAAGGTGTGGACTAATGATAATATTTTCGGCAAACATAAGATTTTAATCTCAAATTTTTGAAGTGAAAACTTCTTTAGGCGCGTTTTGCACTTTTTTGTGGAGAGTGAATTAGATCAAGTCGTCAAATTTCCGATGAGTAGCGCTTGATTAAAGTCGGCTGGAGCCGACTTATTGAAGTAATAATTTTTGCATATGGATTCAAATACCTCAAAAAACTAAAAATTGGACCTGCATATTGCTAGCGATGGAAATGTTCATCAATTCATCATCTCTGTAATGAGCTACTATTCAAAATTGTATCTTAACTAGGGAGGCGAAAAAGAGAAATAGTGTCGAAAACCAAATTATAACGAGTTTTATTGCAAATATGGTTTTAAATATCTTAGAAACTAAAAATCGGACCTGCGTACCATAAGCGAGGGAAATGTTCAGCATTTCATCCTCTTGATAATGAGCTATTATTTATAATTTATATTTCACATTATTAATCTCGCTATGTTGATGGTTTCACTTCTATCATGTGGTCTAAAGCACATACCATAGTGTTTTTTTTTAATTTTTTAGAGAATATTTCTAGTAATTAAAATGTATTTTTATTCCTGCAAATTACATTAGAGTACCTTGCAGGCGCATTTTAGAAGAGATTATAAAAGAGGACAACCCCGGATGTTGGTGGATTCCAGGATGTAGCCTTTTTTATGAAGTGGATGGACGATACTTCTCTCTTCCACTGTTCTGGCATTTTTTCCTCGATCCACACCCTAAGGATAACATCGTAGCGGGCTCTCAAAAACTACTCGTCACCATGGTTCAATAGCTCGGCTGGAATACCATCTTCATCTGGAGCTTTGTTGTTTTTATGCTTACTTAAAGCATCTACCACATCATCGTAAGTGGGTTTCTGTATCATCAGCACAACCTTGCATTTTAATGAATGAAGAACTTTCTACATGCCCTCCCAGGATGGTTTGAAGCTGGTCTCACTCTGGTTGATTCTCTGATAAAAGATTCTTGATGAATTTTTTTCATGAAATAACACTTCGTTTGATACCTGATTCATCAAAATCCAACGCTCCTGAGAGCTGTAAAAAGGATAAGGATGAAAAAAAAAAGACAGTCTTATATACATTGCAGATACAGTAGTGGTCATAGAAAGAGCATCACCAATCTCATTTGATCCTCATGTTGAAAACGTTGGTTCCATTGAATGATTTTGTTTTTCATTACTTAAGTAATTTACAAGAAAACTTAAGAAATGTTTTTAAATTCAGTTTTAACTAATGTCAATTATAACCAGTTTAAAAAAACTGTCCTCGTCAGAAAATATTAAAATTGTGACGTTACATGAAGTGGAAGAGAATGGAATGAATTGGACGGAAATAGTCGGGAACCACCAATCAACGCTACATAATTTTGAAAAATAAAAGAAAGTCACCATGGAGCGAAAAAAAGGAAAAAAAAAAACAACAAACGAACAATTCAAGCGATTAATGGGGCGACTGATTTTTGGAATTTCGAAGACATATCCGGAGATCTTGCAGATAGCATCTGGTAAATCAATCTAGTAAATGAAATAAAATGTTTACTGAGCAATACGATTTCTATGACCGCGACTTTATTTAACTGTAAGAGATTTATTCTCGAAATTTTTTTTCAAAACTGCTATTGTGGAATGTGTTTCTGCTTGAAAACATTTCTTTTTTTTTTTTTTTTTTTGTCTGTATGAGTAATTTTATATTTCCTGAAATGGAAATACTTTAAATTGACAGTTATTAATTAATATTTGAAAGATCTAAGAGTTAGTTTCATGATCTTCCAATAATATCTTAACAGTGATTTTTGTTCTAGTTTTTGCTCTCATTAATTTGATAGGTTATTTTAATTCAGTCATTTAAACACCTTTGTCCGTTATAAGCGATTCAATTTCACGAATAATTGGATCACTAAATAAATAATTTAAGATAAATTAATTGGTCAAGTAGGTTTCTCGAGGTTTGAACGAGGAGGTGACTCCAGAAGAACATGGGCCACTGATGTATAATACTATTCCTAACTTTAAAAGTGTTGCCACTGTCATGATAGCACTTTATTTTCATTTGCTGAACCATTGAAAGACTATGGCTGTTGAAATTATTCGTACATGATATAGCTTCTTATTTCTTTTGTTTTATTTGACTTATATATTTTAAATTATTAGCCTATAAAAACCAAATTTTCAGATTATTTCTAATTCTTATGACATAAGAACATAGCTTCCAATTGCTGTTTTACCAGAATCACTCATTTATTTTTGTAACCTACATCACCTTTTCAGCTATGCGGCATTTTCCAGGGCAGCAGGGGAGAGGACGAGGGATTGATGTCAGAGTTAAATGCCTCTTGCATCGGTACTCAAACTCATAATCTTCTGGTTATGAAGTCATAAGGAAACTTTTGGGGCGGGGTGGCCAAACGAGCTAACAACCTGTATGGAAGGCAATTTGACAAAACAATTATGAGTTCACGTCCCGGTGCCGCGGGGAAAGGGGATTTTAAATCTGTCAATAATTCCCCGCCCTCAACTTAAGGTGAGAAAGGGCAGGAAAAAAAAGGTTGCAAGACAATTGTGTATTCCAAAAGCGTAAAAGTGCTCGGCCACTCCATACCCCGCTCTCTTTCACAACAACTCCTGAAAGTTTATTTATAGTAACTTATTCTATTAGTTTTCTTCATTGGGAATCAGTCAATGATCCATATTCTTATAAATCGTGCTTCTTGCATGTATATTAATTCTAATAGAACTAGTTAGGGTATTCCATTTATAAAGGATGTTTACACCTCAAGAGAATTCCTCAACCCCAGGTTGATTCACGGCTGAATCCGGGCCAGTGAGCACAGCAGCAAAGTGGCTTCATTACTCACTTAGCTATTTATGAACCCGTTAAATATTTGATCTGAGGTCTGTTTTAAAATTTAACTTCTGTGATTCATTAAATCTTCAATATAGGTTGCATTATAAGGTTGTATGGTAACTCAGATGTGTGGTCAAACAATTAGAATTGTAAAATGTAAGCAATGTAAATGATTCATATATTAGTTCAGAAAAGAATTAGTATAATTTATGTCAAGGCCATACGTTCCTGGAATGTCGAGATATTAATGACATGTTTAAAACATTTTCATTATAGATAAACTACCGATTCTCAGTTAAAATAAATTTTGGGCTATTTGCACCAAATATCAGCTGTTTATTGAGAAGTTTCACGAACATTTCCTATAATTCTCTTGTTCATTTTTATTTGTCATATCAATACGGTGCAAAACAAACTTGCGTTCAGCCGCATTTATCCGTATCAAGTTCAGTATCAATACTATGCTCAATCTGTCTCTTCCAGGTAGTCCAGAGCTGTCGATGGATGATATGCTGGAGAAGATGAAGGAACTGGAAAGAGCAGGGAGGCGCCGATGGGAGTCTTCGAGGGCCACGCAGTCTCCCGAGGAGATGCCCGTCTTCGACACTACCCTCGTCACCAACGTAACTGCTCAGCTCGGAGCGACCGCTTTCCTACGTTGCAGGGTGAAGAATCTCAAGAACAGGGCGGTGAGTATTTATTAAATTTGTGTTACCATCGAGATATAATTCCGTTTGATATAATTATTTATACACATATTCATATCCATAATAGTCTTGTAGTCTTTCCCTATAGCATTATTAAAAAAAAAGGAACTCCAAATATATATAGCGTGGGTCGAGAGAAACGGAGCTAATTCCAGGAGTGAGTAACACAATTGGAATGATGAGCACACAAGGAAAACTCTTATGTTCTAATCCAATTTCCGTTTGTTTGAAATAAAACAGAATTGGTTTGTAGAAAATACGATCATTGATTTCAGAACAATTTCAGCTTCAGTTTCAAGGGCGACACTTGCCTTACTGATTGTTTCATGTCTTGTTGTAATGTTGCCTGCGAAATTTTTAATGCGTTGAATTAAATCATCCCGATTGTATACTTTTACTTTGTATGCTTCTTCTTTGAACAGTCCTGTACGGTGAGGTCTGGAGATCTTGGAGGTCAACTAATTGGACCACCTCGACCAATCCCACGATATAGAAACCTTTCATCCGAATGCTGCACCACTTTACCAGCGAAATGAGCGCATTCTCCGTCATGCTGATATTAGTAGTCTCCTGTGAGGCGTTTCTCTGAAATGAAACGGCCAATAAATATTTTTTTAAATTTTATTCATGATATTTACAACTGTATTATAAATGAAAATACATCTAGTAAATGTGAACAATTGAGTATCATAACATGATAACACTTGTTGAGAAACTACCCACTGGTAGCACTCTAATAATATGTCTACATTAGGGCCATCTTCTTTTCAGATGCTTGGGAGGGTTATCAGGAATCGAAGAGGAAGCAGCCTTAGAAATGCGAGGTTTGGGATGGTTCTGAAGTTCATTTTGAAAGGATAGGGTCGGGCCCAATCTGAAACATAAGAAACATTAAGGTCGTTATGGATGATTTTATCTGTAACGAAGTACCGGATAACGAAATAGGAGTTTTTTTTTCTCTGTAAAACTAGAAGTTCGAGTTTTACCTATTTCATCCTACTTACACTGTATTTAAAGCACCTTAAATAGATTATACAGTTTTTAACAATTAAAAAGATAATTAGTCTCAAACAATACATTACATAATGCAAGTGCATATTATACCGTATTCATCACCGTAAATTTGTTTTATAGGATATATAATTCTGAAACTAAATAAGGGGTGGTAAACAATTTTGGCCCGTTAGCCACATAGAGAGAGATCTCCGCTAAGTCCAGCAGGCCGTCTCGAGTTTTTTTTCAAATCTCCCTGAAAAAGAAAACATAAATATCATATTCGGACCATTACATAATGATGGAATGATACTCTTATTTACCTTAACCTTTTTCTACCTGTCGTATTTGAAGGTGCGTTGTATTGATTGTAAAATGATATCTCTTCCTGCCTCTTTACAGGCCCTGCTGAGATGTGTGGAGTTAAGAGCCCTCCGTGGAAAAAAAAAATAAATAAATAAAAAATAAAAAAAAAGAAGAGACTTCTATATAGTTTCGTGAGCCATAGATTGTGGCTTGTGTGAATGAGAAAAAATGTATTTCTATAAATCATACTTCAGTTGAGTTATAAGCTTCCTAATACAAACAATCCATGCAAAAAAAAAAGGCTGTAGTAACCTTGTGTTTCACTGATTTACTAAATTTCATAAGTGCTAAATACTTAATAAAACGGGAGTGGGGGTAGCTCAGTGGTAGGGCACTAAGGTTCCTATGCTCAAGGTCCCAGGTTCGAATCCCGGCTCTTGGTAGAACATTTATTAATTCTGTTTCATTGGCCGGGGGGCGACCATGGATAAGGAGATCCCTTCTGGGGCACACCCAAACTCTACAAAATGGGTATCCTTAATTATACAATTAATTAAGGAGAAAACCAAGTCCGATCTCCTCCCTGCACAACCGTTGGCCTTGTAACAGTACTTTCACTAAATAGTACTGGATCCAAGACCTTCCGTGGGTTGTAGTGGTACAGTTTTTATAGTTTATCATCTAACCAAGAAGAAACTTTGGCGCTTTGGAGAGCCCTCAACTAAATTATGGAATACGGAGCACATCTGATTTTAGTCCCAAAAGAAAGAATTATATTAACGACCAACAATAACAATATTGAGGAGCTATGTATATTAAAATATTTTTCTCGATTATATCTTGAGAAATATAAGATCTGCATGGAAGATTATCAACCCAATTAAAGTCAAGGCAACTTATAACACAGTATCCTCCATCTAATCCTTAAAATTAAAAAATAAAAAGTTTTAAAAAGGTTAATGGGATTATTGACATCTTAGCGAATTCTATGGGCTTCTGGCAATTTTACTGTCACAGAAATTAACTGCAAAAAAAAACATACTAGACCATATTGAGTTTATAAAATATTTAGCACTATGAGAATCGAATATGCAATTCATTGAAACTTCACCCATGAAATAAATGGACTATGGCGTGAAAGACTTACGAAATTTGAATTTTTTCCCTTGGTCAAACGGGATTGAAATCAAACCAATGAAACTTTATTGTATCCGAAGCCCTAAAAGTTTTACAAAAAAGTTAAATGCTGACTAGCATCGCAAATATCTCTCTTTTGAAAAATTATACTCTTACATAATTAATTGCAGAGAAATATTATATTATATTATATTGGGTTTATAAAATACATAATACATATAAAATAAATATTATATTATATTGGGTTTATAAAATACGTAGAAGTGCGGGGATCGAATATACGATTCATAGAAACTATAGCCCGATAGAATAAATGGATTATGGCATGTAAGATTTCCCAAATTTGAATTTTTACCTATCGTCTAAGGAGATTGAAATCAAAGCAATGAAACTTTTTTTTTAAGCGAAAGTCTTAAAATTTTACAAAAAAAAAAAAAAATCCATTGAACTTCCTAAACTTGCCTCTGTTGGAGACACTGCAGTTGCTCTAGGAGGCAACTGTAATATATCTTGAAAGCATTGCCAACTCACAGTATGATAAGCCCCTTGCTTGAGAGTCTGGAAGTTCTATTAAGAAACCTAGATTTAAGTGCACTAGTTCAGAATAACAACAGTTTGGAGCTCAGCCGCAAATATTTCATTTAATAATATGACAAGCCTACACCTTCCATTCTCCATCCTCAAAAAAAAAAAAAAAAAAAACTAAGAAAAAATATAAAAACCCGTTTAGAGCAAATATGATTTTATTTTATTTGAAATAAAAATATGGATATGAAATTTCAAAGGTTGCGAAGATATAAAAATGATTTCCATTAAAGTAAATATTGACTACCCGATGATAAAACATTGGTGGTATATGATAAAACTTTATACTTGATACATTAATAATCTTTTATAACTTGTGACCTTCGGCAAAAGTTAGTGTAACATTTAATGAGTTTTTTTTTCCTTAGGAATTTCTTCAATATGAAATTTTTCTCAACCAAATTCCTGCTTCAGCAAGTCTCTCCGTCTCTGCCGGTCCATCGCATTCTTCGACAGTCTCCTACCAGCCATACTATCCACCACTCTATCCTTACATCTAACTGGGAGAGAAGAGATGTTCCTCTCCTTCTTTTACCCTCTGCCTTCCAATTCATAATTATTTTTGGAAAGCTATCTTCACCCGTTCATGGCCGTACCATCTCAGTCTCCTTTCATCCATCATCTGTAGGATATTTTGTTTTATTTCCAGTCTCTCCCTTATAGTGGAGTTGATTGTTTATAGTTTTACAATACTTAAATGATATGGACAGACTTATTGAGAAACTTCCCATTAGTAGCACTCCTATAATAGTATATTAAAAAGTCCCGAGGCCATCTTATTTATGAACACCTAGGAGGATAGTCAGGAATCGAAGAGGAGGCACGGTTAGATACTATTGGCAGTAGATAGTCTTATTGTGGATACGTTCATCGTGGAAGTGTAAGATTCTAAATTGGGTTAAATTGATAAGATGTTGAAGATTAAATACATTGTGGATAATTTAAAGGGATTACGGAGCATTGAGGGTTTGAAGGTGAAGGGTTGGATGCAACAAAAAATTTGATAGTATAGTGGAGACTTGCAACCCATCACCATACGTCCAAAGAGGCCTTATTATAGTCAATTAAATCACTCTATTATATTTAATTGGAAGCTTAGATCGTTTGTCTAGTAAGTGTTGAAGTAGCCGAAAACGTCAGTTTCTTGTCGTTTCAGTCTTGCATGAGGAAGTAATATTAAAGCATATTATATGACAGAAAGTCATAGGTTTACGCTGAACCTTAAAGGTGTTGTTGGAATTTATTTTAATCCTCCGTAATAAAAATTTTAATTAATATTTTGACAGCATTCTTTAATGCGTATGATCTGTGAAGAAATGTTTGGGAAGTAATAAATGGGTCATTATTAACTGTTAATACACATCTGTCACCAGAATATGTGGTAATGAGGATGTTAGAATGTCAGTTGAGTGAACATCTTTAGAGAATTGGACTGAAAATACTCCCTTGAGGAACAATAACGGACTGAGAAAAGAGAGATGAATAGACAACAATTTGGCTTGTCTTGGATGCACATTATTAAATATGTAATTAAAAATCACGTTGATGAACATTTTGAAATGCATTGTGTTCAATTGAATTCATCTGTCTAGTGAATATAACAAATTTCTGGTCTGTTTACTTATGTTTATATCAGGAAACATGAATAAACTCGTTTATGAACCATAAATAAATAATTATAGAATCAACAGATTAGTATTTTTGCTGCTCTAAAAAAGAGGTAGGTATGTCAAATGTAAACAAAAATGAGGATTAAAAAAGAAATTGAAAATTCGTTTTCTGTTTAAGGTCTCTTGGGTCCGCAAGCGAGATTGGCACATCCTCACATCCGCCATGTTCACTTACACAAACGACGAACGGTTCCAGGTCCTCCACACAGAGGGCTCTGACGACTGGACACTTCAGATCAAGTACGTCCAGAAGAGAGATGACGGAGCTTACGAATGTCAGGTAAGGATAGATCGTAAAGAAATACTGTTGGTATGAGAAACAATGAAAAAGAGCTTATTCCGCCCATCCCTGGACTTTTTTTTTTATTTGAATGCGTTAAAATAAATACTTCCGCGTAATTAATAGAAGTGGTACTATTAATTTCCAGTAGAGTGGTTTTAGAACCGCAGGAGTTGGAAACAGAGCGAGTGCGAGGGCTTTTAAAGGAAGAAAAATGAGACAGAAGAGAGCGCTTAAAAACCCGCACCTTCCTTAATAGCCTATCCATTACACCTGATTACAAACCAGATCTGTCCGCAGCACAACTTTTTTATTGTTATTATCTGTTTATTGTATATCTACGAAGGATAGAAAATATTTTTATGATGTATTAATAAATAACCTATGTTTTATCATTTAAGAATATCACGCATTCATAAAAATCGTCACAAAGGTGTCATTGCCCTAATTTAGATTTGCAATAGGTAAGAAAATACTATACATACATATATATATATATATATATATATATATATATATATATATATATATATATAATATATATATATATATATATATATATATATACAAATTAAAATTATTGTGGCAGCACAACGCCCGCTAAAACAAATTTTAGAATACTAAAAAAACCGCCATAACCAAATACTCAAAAGGCACATACAAACACCAACTTAATATAAAAATTGTTAACCGTCGTACATCATTCCAGTAGGCTGTAGAGGCGTAAAAAACTTGAACATCGGGAAAAACTGAAAAAAATGTCGAAGAAATTTTCACAAAATTCTAACTCTGCGTAGAAATCAACCTCTGATTACGACGGCTGCATTGTTCCGCTCATTTCTTCCTAAAGGGAGACCTGCTTTAGGTGCCGAAATGAGGGACAGGAAAAATTTACACACACACAAACACACGCACATACACACACACACACACACACACACACACACACACACACACACATACATATATATATATATATATATATATATATATATATATATATATATATATATATATATATATATATATATATAAAATTATTATCATTATATAATATAATTTATATATCTATATATTTATGAAAAACACCATAAACCTTTTCCAAGGTAACTAAAACATATAACTTCAATGACCTTTCATTCAATTTAAAATCATAATTTTCAGGAAAACTTCTATTCTCTTTTTTTTTTTTTTCAAAAGTCCTTATTAGAACATAGGAATTTCCTTAGAAACTTTTTTGGGACACTTCAAGTTATTTTTTTTTTTTGTTATTTGACATTTTTTTATACCATTATATTCTCACGAGAACTTTTTTAATAAAAGCTGAGCCGAATAGAACTACTAGCCCAAAAGTTTTTCTATATTAGTTGAATATAGAAAATAGTTATTGTCTGAGACACTAATAAGCAATTTATAAGTTTTATTTTTTATTTTTCTATTTATGATCACTTTGTGAATTTCGCTTTCTGTCTTGGCGTATTAGCTTATTTATTTTATATTACCTATCATTATCTTACTATATAACACGCTCTAATGTGACATAAACATTATTAAACCTATTGCAACCTAAGGTATATTTTGAGTGTTTATAAATTAACTGTTTAAAAAGGCTGCTTCAACTCTACTCCTAGTTCGAATCGACAAGAAACAATACTGCCCTGTCTGCAACAAAGGAGCTGAATTGTATTACTTCACACAGCAAAAACGTAATCTACGCGGTGGACCAAAAAGCGGCCTTCTGTGGAAACTAGCAATTATTTGACCGTGGGAGTTGGATTGGGGACGGTTAGTGATCCCTGACTAAGTTGGCAATTAAAATGCAGGGCCAATGAAAACGGTCCACCTTTAATCCCTCCCTCTTCGATTTACCTTTAATCCCGGAATGAAACTGTTCCACTGCCGCCCATCTCACACTCCATTGGACGCTGCCTATTCCGAACGGAACTAGGGAGGATTTCGTTCTCCTATCCAGCTTATCCCCCTTATGTCCCTATTCACGTGATTGAAGAGTATTTGACCGTAGTAACAACTAATCGGTATGAATGGGACAGGATAATTACTCTTGATAAAGATATATACAAGAAAAATATGAAAAAAATCTTTCATTAAGTGTGGTTACTTAAAGACTTCTTTATATATTTGTGTGAATTAGGAGTGTAGCTGGATGAGTATGCTTGAATACCTCTGCTGAAATAGATGTAGAATTAGTCAAAATAATAAATGAGATCGAGCCCGTCAGATATCCCATATTTAACGCTCGTAAAGTCGACTGGAGTCGTCAAAGTGTTTTAGCAAATTAACGAACTCGTACAACAGTAAAGACTTCGAAATTTACTTTTATTGTAAAATATTTAGTTACATAGACATAAGGTTATTAATTCTTCTTACAAACTAGCCTTGTGAGGCCTAAACTGATGTTACATGTCTGACTTCTAAACTTGGTATTGTCTGTAAGATATTTTGAAGCTCAATATATATGAAATGATAAAGAAGGGTTGGCTATCATTTAACTATTCCCGTGGGAAAGTTGGTTTCTTGTTAAAAGTAACAATGCCCCAACATGTGTTAACTTTTGGGACAAATGAGGCTCAATATACAAAAGCAGGTATCCTTTGCAGGATAATAAGGGCAATAATGTTGTAGCCATAAATTGAAGGGGACTGACAACATCTCCTGGAGAATGACAACATAAATCTATCAATGGTTAAAGCAGGTCAATTCTAACTCTTTGAGACAAAGGAATTAACAATATTAGTAATAATAAATAACGAAAAAATATTAATAATGACTATAGCTATTTAACTTGCATATGGATTAAAATATGTCAAAAATTAAAATCGGAGTAACATATTGCAAGCGAGTGAAATGTTCAACATTTCATTCTCTTTGTAATGTTATTACAAACTATTATTCACCTTAACGCGACGCCATGCTAGATGAAAAAAGGGAATTTATCTTACGATTCAAGTTGAATGCAAATCGGTGTTAATGGGTTTTTAGAACCTAATTAAGTAGACAAAGTTTGCCGATCTCCAGATTGAAAACGCCCCAATTCCGAGAATTTTCGTAAATAAAAAAAGTCGAAGGTTGAGATGAGATGCAGCTATTCACGAAGTTTCAGACGGATGTTAATAATATAAGAAATAATTCCGATCCACTAGTGGAAAAAAAAGCAACAAAGAAAGCCTCCTTTAGGGTGAAAAGTTTCGAGAGAGAAGATTTTTAACTAACTCCAACATGGTAACCCATATTTACAGCAATATTCCTAAACATCTGGTCTTGATGGTTTCCTTTAAAAATTATCTACGATCCATAAGAATACATCAGGAGCAGTAGTACACATGTTTTAAAATAAATGTTGTTCCTTGAGAGCAACATATTTTTTGCATGTCCCATGCGCAACTGTCTGGCTAATATTTTTTTCTTTTAGGAAAATAGGCAGAGGTTGACGACCGATCCAATAGGGTCGTAAACTTTGAATCTATCTAAAAATAGTTTCGGAACATTGGCTTCCAGAGTGTCCTGTAATTCCATATCGATTCACACTAGGCATTATCTCTGGCGACGGTTTTATATTTCTTTAGTGGCCCCTATCGGGTAGTTGACCCTCCGTATCTGGAATTGCCCACTATAGCCAACATATAAAATGTCCACTTCGGAGAAAAACAAGGGGGCAATGGTAAATGAAGGTTTAATTACACAAATGTCGTCGGATAATAATGTCGATGCTTCATCTATAATAACTGTCGTTTCCACGAAGTAGTGTTGAAAGCTTTTCGTAATAATGTTTAAAAACATTATTTTAATAACAACATATAGCTTTAAATTAATTTGGAAGAGAACGGCTTCAAAACAAAAATTTCCCTCCGGTAAATGCAGAAAATTCAGCAACATACCAGTATCTATTTCATCTGTTTCATAAAAAAAAACAAAAAAAAAACGTAATAATAATTATTTATATAACAAATGCCTCTGACATACCAGGTCATTACTATGCTACATATATTTTGATGTTTCATAATTAATAATAATAATAATATGATTTATTTATTCCAGGACAAGTCCCTTTAGAACAATAAATAATGATAAAATTGAGAGTATTAGAGCCTACGAGTTAAAAAAAAAAGAATAATAAAATAAACAAATGAAATATTTAAAAAAAATCAAGTTATATTTTAAAATGGATGAATTAAAAATAAAAACAGATACTTAAAAAAACATAATAATTTATATAAGTATTTATGTAAAAATCTATTTACACTTGGTGGAGAATGGGATGTATAAGAAGTGATTGAACAGGCGGGATTTAATGGTGGGTAGGTTTTTGGGGTAACGAATGAAGGAGGGGATAGAATTCCAAATGAATGAGGATCGAATTATGAAAGATAGTAAACGGTATCTTAATACCGTTACAAAAGTATAACATAGTTAGTCATGTCTTTGAAATATTGTTTATGCTTGATTTGTCTAAATACGATAAAATATTATTTAGATTATTTTAAAAGTTATATTTTGATCAGTTCTGCGCATGCGCTTGATTTGAATACCCACATTTCACGTCGTGTCCCACAGTTTTACTATTTTTTAGTAGAATAAGTGCTCAGTTTTACTTAAAAAAAAAACAACTAGTTAAACAGACATCAAAACAACAACAATGGACTAAAACCACAGTGAGTAGTGTTGTTATTTACTGTGTACTATTACAGACAGTGAATTTAGTGGTTTAGCGTCTATAGCCTTATCTCCTCCGCTGGTTTAAAATAACAGTGAAGTGGCTGAGGGAGAGGCGTAGGGATCTCCTAAGCCTCCCTTTTCCCTCCACATGTGGAGGGGACAGGATTGGTTCGGAGATCACCTGGCAAATTGTAAATAATGTATATAGGTATGTTTTATAGGTATAAAGGTGTTTGTTTTACTTTTATTTCTATTTTTATTTACTTATGTATATATGTATATATATTTTTTTTCTTTACTCTTTTGTTCTTTTTTCTTATTCTTTTGTTATTACTTTATTTATTTATATTTTTGTATATATGGTATGAATGCAATCTCTGAACTCTATTATAAGTGTCCTTAAACTGTGACAAATTGTAATATTTCTGAATAAAGTGTTAAAAAAAAAAAAATATTTTGATCAGCAGTATCTCTTTGCCAAGAGCAATGTTTAGCCTTTTATCTACGTTGTAATATATTTTTGCTTCCCTAAAGAATAATAATTATTATTATTACATTGAAGTAATTTGAACTGAAAAATGT